CTGTGAATAAAGAATATAATTCGAATATGTTTTTTTGGTTTTTTCCTGCACAAAATGGTAATAAACCTGATACACCAGTCATGCTTTGGCTTCAAGGTGGTCCAGGTGCATCATCACTTTTTGCTCTATTTACAGAAATTGGTCCAATTTATATTGATTCAAATGAAAATATTCAATTACGTGAAATAACATGGAATACAAATTATCATTTACTTTTTATTGATAATCCTGTTGGTACAGGTTATAGTTTTACATCAAATGATCAAGGTTATGCACGTTCACAAGATGATGTTGCACGTGATCTTTATTCAGCATTAACACAATTTTTTCAAATTTATACTGATTATGCATCAAATCCATTCTATGTTACAGGTGAAAGTTATGGTGGTAAATATGTTCCATCAATAACATATAAAATTCATGTTGAAAATCAAAATCCACAAGTTAAAGTTAAAATTAATTTGAAAGGTATGACCATTGGTGATGGTTTAACTGATCCAGTTAATCAATATATGTATGGTGATTTTCTTTATCAGGTATGATTATGTACATATAAAGTCTTTCTAGAAGGAAATATATGTTTAGTAGAACATTGTAGTTGTTATGACATAATATTTCACCAAGAAAAGATTTAAATTCTAAATGATATTGAACAATTTTTGTTTTGTTCTCTATAGATTGGTCTTGTTGATTTAAGTCAAAAAGCATATGTTGATTTACAAACTGCTCTTATGCGTTATGCTATTGAACAAGGACGATATATTGATGCATTTCATCTATTCGATGCTCTTCTTAATGGTGATCTTCTTAATACAACATCATATTTTTATAATGTAACTGGTATTAAAAATTATTTTAATTACTTATTATCAGACGAACCAGAAGATCAAGGTTATTTTGTTCCATTTGTAACTCGTGCTGATCGACGAAAACAAATTCATGTTGGTAATTTATCTTATGGTAGTCAAAGTGATACTGTTGAAAAAATGTTACTTAACGATGTGGTAAGAAAGAACTTTTAAAGTCGGGTAATTTTTATCATTTTATTTTAAAATCTTTTTTGTTTTATAGATGCAAAGTATGGCATGGAAAGTTGCTGCTATAGCTAATGCTAATTATAGTGTAATGATTTATAATGGTCATTTAGATATAATTATTGCTTTACCATTAACAATGGAATGGATTAGTCAATTAACATGGAGTGGTACTAATGAACTTCGACAAGCACCACGAACAGTTTGGAAAGTAGCTGATACAGATAAAGAAATAGCTGGTTATATTAAAACAGCAAATAATAATCGATTTTTTCTTGCTACAATACGTAATGCTGGTCATATGGTACCATATGATCAACCACGAGCTATGCTTGATTTACTTCAACGTTTTTTAGCAGCACAACCAAAATAAACTAATAAATAATTGAATGACATTTCTTTATTTGTTTGTTTATTTTATTTTATTTCTTATTATTATTATTATTCTACAATCATTAATTATTTTTAAGAAAAAGTTTTTTTTTTTGTGAAAAGAATAAAGGGTTTTTTTTTTTGTAGGCATATAAATGTTAGAAAAAAAAAATGACTAGAAAAAAAAAAGTAGAGATTAAATTTTTTAAGGATTTTCTTGATCATTATCATAGATACTGGTATTTAATGATTGAGATGATTTCATAGATGGAAGATTGAATGATGATTCATCGAAATATTTAAGAATCATTTCATAGAGATATTCATATTGTGCCTATACAAAAAAAAAGAATTAGAAATAAAAATTTATTATTTTCCGAACATACAAATGATGTTATCATAGCAGGTCGTTGTCGTTGTAATGTACGTACACGTTGAAAAATATCGATGCTATGTTCATTTTTAAGTTGATCCAATAATATTAAACTCATACAAAATATTGAACAAGAGGGACCACCATTTCTAAAATACATTTTTTAAAATGAATTATTATATTAATGTTATGATATTTATGTCGAGAGATTTTCGAGAAATTAAATTTATTTCATTTTATTTTCATGACTTTTTTTCTCAAATTATTATGACTTTCATATTCTTAATTCTTCAATCCTTTTGACTGTGCTTGGGCGTAGTCAACAGATAGATTAAAATATGAAACACGATGTAGCTACCAGTACTAATCGTGACGAGGACGTTTTCTTTTTCATGTGTTTTAAGATACATCTCTTCATCATCATTTTACTTAGTCCGCTACAAAATATAATAACAAAGTAGTTCATATATGATAAAGAGGTGTTACTGACATAGAGTCTGTAGTTGTATGCCAACAACATCTGCGAGTGGTCAAAATTTTACATGTATACTTCAATACATAGCTTCATGGGACTGACCGCCTATGGGACAGAACGGAACGAGATCAAATCAATTCACATGTGCCTTTCGTCAAGTATACATGAGATAGGATTGTGGGTGTTCTGGAAAAAAAAGGAGATTTACAGAAACTTTTCGAAGCCTAAAAGAGAAAAAAAGTTTCGATGAGGATGTAAGAAGCATTTTTTATATTCCAAACCTTTTTTCAAAATTTCTGCTTTCGGCTTAAAAACCGAACTTTTTAGAGGCCAAAAACGTTCTGAAAATCTTCTTTATGTTTTTTTTCCGAGCACGCACATCTGCACCACAAATAATGTCGACAATATACCTTTTTTTCAGATCAGTTACTGGATGAGCAATATTTAAAGTTGTGCTTTTTATTCAGTTTATTATTGTGACAACAATGTAAATATTATTTTGAAATAGATGTTTAGTAAAATAAATGAGTTAAATTCAAAATGAAAGTATAAATTCTTTGAACTTTTTTCAATGATCACAGAATGAAGCGAGATAAGAAACAGGATGGGACGATTATTTTTGTCGTCCTGTGGAGCTCTGCTTTAACATTTCTTTTAGATTTCGTCTCACCAAATGTTTGATAAAATTTCTATTTATCCTTTAAATGTAAGATATCATTTCGGGTGTATCCAAAAAATTTTAGTATCTCGTACGCAAAGCTGAGGCTATAAAACCAGGTTTCAAGGATCTCCAATGTAGCATTGAATAGTTTTACTTAATGATATGAAAGATAAAAGATTTTTCAGCAAGATATCTTTTCAACGTAAATGAGACTGTTCAAAAAAATGAGTACTTCTTGTCGGTCTCATTTTACAATTGAAGAGAGTGTGCATTATAGCTCACGAACGTTAATATATTCAAGTTGAAGGAAAGGAGTTTCAACGACAAACTAATAAATTAGCGTTTCTTAGGAAGTTCACCAACTGAGATTTTTCCATTTTACAATCTAAGTAAAACACATTTTACCAGAAAAGTCCATAATATCATTCTTTTCAAAGACGAGAGGACGGGTGAAAATAGACTTAAAATTCTTTTTCGATGTATGAAATTTGGCTTTTTTTCTTGTATAACTAGAAGAATTGTATCTAAACCTGGGAAATGACATATACTATAAATTCTTTAAAATTTATATATTAAATTTGCCTCAAATATATGGCAGTTACACTCCTTATCCGTCCGCGGTTAAGTTTTTACTAATACATAAATTCAGATATGGAACCTCTCTGACAAGTTGTCACACTATTCTATCTGTAGATAATCCTATTTTTCATAATGAACTTTCAACAAAGTTTTATTACTAATTCTTTATATGAGAATAGAAACAAAAACTAAATAGGATACATAGATTAGGGAACTGCAAAATGGTCTCGGCCAGTTTTTTATGCAATATATTTTCACGTCTATTATTTTGACATGATTAAAGATCTGTAAATCAGATATTTTTATTTGCTATTTCTATAAAAGTCTCTACTGATTATGAGTCTGTTTGCAAGAATCCAAATTTTCCAATTATTTCTCTATTTAAGTCTTATCAGAAACTGATAAGCAGAGATGGAACCGGTAGACCGACCTGGTTGACCTTTGCAGACTAGTACCAGTACCAGTCGTCAAAATTTCAGACTGGTTCCTTCTCTATATCAGGTATGTGATACAACTTGGCACATCAAGTTTATCACTCGAAAAACCGAATCTTTCATATCTAAACTACTCATTCTGTACTACTGTGCATTATCGATATATCATTCGTTACCGGTAGACCGGTACCGGTCTTCAAAAATCCAGACCGGTTCTATCTCAGCTGATAAGTTCACAGATCGTAAAAAAGTTGCTCGATTTTAGAAATAAAGCCATTGTCAAAGAGCGGGACCGGGACTAAAAAAACGATTTTGCAAATCCCTAAAACAGATCTATCGAACTGACTCGGTCGATAACCGATTGCATCTCTGGCAAAATTTCAAGTTTTTTCCTTGTCAACAGCTGACAAAATAAACTCGTTAACTATTCGAAAAATATCTATATAATTTCATACCCACAATGAACAGTTATATATCGATTGTGATTGCTTTTATCTAATCGTTTGTTAATATGACCAATAAAATCCAATAAATTATTTACTAATACCATTGGAATGCATTGTTCATTTTCATATTCATCATTATTACATATAGGAATAAGATATTCATAATGATAAATTGTTTTTGATAGAGCTTCACGTATATCTGTTAAAGAAAATTGACGAATAATATATTTATCTTCGATGATTTCTTTTTCTATTAATTTTAATAAAATATTTGTACTAATTTTCATTGTAGTATCAACATCATTTGGATAATAAATTGCACATTTTGAAGAAGAAGACTAAATTTTATTTTATATATATATATATATTACAACGAAACAAAAAAAAAATATGATATCAAAAATCTAATCTTACTTCAATAGTTGTATGTAATTGTACAATACAATTTGAATCATGTTCAATAAACATTCTCCAAAATTCATCAATTGTTTCTAATAATGGATCTTGTGTTATAATAAATGAAGATTGATGTGAATATCCCTATTGTAAAAAAATATTTAAATGAATATTTAAACAAAACAAATCTTACTTCAATGAATGATGCATTTATATATGGATGTCCTAATATACGACTTAAACGAACACGATTATGATCATCTATATTTACCAAAAAAAACAAAAAAAAACGAAAATTTTTATTTTCATCGATAATTATAAATCTTACATGGTATAATTTGAGTATGTCGATTTTTATTTATATTTGTTGATAAATGAGCATCACGATGAGAATTATTTTCAACAGATAATAATTGTAATTTCTAAAAGAATTCAGCAATGTCACATATCTAAAATTTTGGAGATGCATCCACGTCTAGAGCGGGAGATGTGAGTGTGGATGCAGGGGATGCGCATCTCTAAAGGAGATGATACATCTCCAGTGGAAAATGACCGCGTCTCCTGAAGGAGATTCCGCATCTCCAAAACTCAATCAAATGATTCTTATAAGTGATAAAATTCGAAAGTTTATCTTCTATTTGAACTTACATTATATTCAGATATTAATAAAGTTTGTTTATTATTTTTTAAATTTAAATATATTAATCGAAATGCATTTGCTTCAATTCTTGTATTACCATAGAGATAATATTCAAGTAAAGATCGATAAATAAATACATATTGTTTCTATTAGAATATTTCGAAAAAGAAATTGACCGTTGATTTTTTCTTTTTTAAACAAAATAAACATACAACTGTTTGTACCATCAAATGACGTTCACGACGCATTTGTAATACAAAATTATATATATCAATTGTTCCTTCTTGTTTAATTTTATCAAGCATTGCATCAATAGCAATATAAGTACCTGTACGACCAACTCCAGCACTACAAAAAAAAAAAATTATTTTCATTATTAAATGAATGAAATTTTTTTGTCTTACGTGCAATGAACCACAATTGGATATTGTTCACGATTTGTTTGTTCATTAACTTCACGTATTAAATGAAGTAATGTATGTGAATCATTTGGAACATCCATATCTTTCCATTGTGTATAATGATATTGAACAATAAGATGAAATTCTTGTTCATTATTTAATGACAATGCATTATTTGTTGTTAATGATGACGATAGTAAAAATTCTTTGTTATTACTTATCTTATATAAATAGAAATAAAATAAAAAAAGAAACATTAGTATCATTCTAGATAATGATGATGTTGCAACAAGGTTTTAGTATTGTTTTCATCATATTTCTTTCTACGGGATATATTCAAGGTCAACCTCGTCGTTTATTATATCCAAATGGAAAACAATACATTATTCAAGCAAATGATGATCCTGGTGAACCACTTTTTCTTACACCATATCTTGAACAAGGTAAAATTGA